TTTGCTTAGAAAGTATATTGCTAAAATTAATTATTAAAATTTTATTATAAAAATTAATTTTAAAAAAATTAACACAGTCAAATTTGTCTGTGTTACAATCTAAGGGATAAAAAAATATAAATTTAATTTTTTTATTATTTTTTTATATATATAAATAATTTATTTTTTAAGTTTGGTTTAATTCTTTTATTATATAAAAATTTGATTCTAATAGTTTGTACTTAATAAGCTAGCATTAATTTTGATTAGGTATATTCATAAATATCAATAATAGAATTTATTTTACTTTGTATATCAAAAGAGAAAAATGTATTTATATTGATTCTTGACTTTGAAGTTTTTTTTTTGTTTTTTTTCTTTACTATATTACTAATATTTCTTTATATATTTTTTTTATAAATTTAAGAATTTTAACTGAATTATTATTAATAATATATTGTAATAAAAAAGATTTGAATATTTTAGACTCTACTAATAATTCAGATTTGTTAAATTATGTTTTAGTTTGAAAAAAGAATTAGAATTAATATTTTTCTTTTTGTTAAATTGACTCTTGATAAATAATTGAATAGATATATAACCTTTTAAACTTATTATTTATTTTGAATAAAATAGGAATTTGTGTTCAAATTTGAGTATTTACTAATAATACTGAACAAGCTATAAACTATAAAATATCTTTTGTAGAAAACATATTTAGATCATTAGTAATAACAAGGATCTTCTTTGTTTTAATTTTGTAACTCTATTATTAAGCTTAGTATTCTTAATAGTAATCTTAATAGTATCTGTTTTATATTTTTTTCTAGCTTCTTAAATCAGGTCTTAAGCATTGCATTTTCTTCTATAACCTATTTCAATCTTCATTCACTGTTTTAAGTTTATTAATTTGAAGAACAAACTTAAAATTTAACTTTTTAATGTATTGATTAAAGATTTTGGGCTTGCTATTGTTTTATATAAAATCAATTATTTAAAAGTTTAATCATATTGTTATAGGTGAAAGCCTTCTTAATTTTTATACTATAACGATAACACAGCATAGGGAATCCCTTACAGGTATATGCAGTATCCAAGAGGGAAGTATAGCTTCTGTTAAATGTTGTCAAGAAACTATACCCTTCTCTGAGACAGTTTGGGAAAAGTAATGCAATACTAATAACTTTACTTTATTTTACTAAGAGGAGATAAACCTTGTCTGTAGGAATTACCTTAGAGAAGGAGTATCGATACAGTTTATAGTTAAAAGCTGTTTATTAAAGTAATAACAAGAAGGGCTATCCTTAGGTTTTTGTTCCTAAAGAATCCCAAAATGTGTTTACAATATTAAAGGGAAAAGGTGTATCTGTTGCTTAATCGCACTTGGGGAATTTAGCAAGGTTTATATATCTGTAAGCTAAGCAGCTAAGCAGCCAAGCGACTAAGCGATTAAGTGACTAAGCGTCTAAGCAACTAAGCTACTAAGCGATTACTAAGCAACCAGAAGGTTCTAGCAACTAATGACTAATAATTATTAAGCAACTAATTACTAAGCAACTAAGCAACTAAGCATCTAAGTGACTAAGTGACTAAGCGACTAAGCGACTAAGTGACTAAGCGATTACTAATCAACCGGAATGTTCCGGCAACTTCTACTAATAATAATAATACAATAATAAAATAACTAATATAATAATAATAATAATATAATAATAATAATAACTAATAATAATAAAATAATAATAATTTGTTCTATAACACTATATTTGAATAAACTCATTCTGAAAAAGTTGTATTATTTATGTTTGATAATAGTAGTAATTATAAAAAATTTGCTGATAATGCATTGCTAGTTTTACAAATAAATATGAGTAATGGTACTAAAAAACCTCTTCTTCATAATGACATTAAATCTGATGGTTCTCAACATATTATGACATATGTTAATGCTAATGATACAATAAAACCTAAAGAAATTAAACTAGTTCTTAAAGAGCATAATTTTTGAATATCTGGTTTAGTAAGATGATGTATTAAGTACAAACAAAATAAATTTGATCCAAAAAAACCAAATTGTTATGCTTTATAAATTCTCTTTACACAACTTGATTTTGTATTACAAAAACCATATTTATAGAAAATAAGTAAAATAAAATTTGTTATCAAAGTATTATTTAATATGTATACTTAATTCAAATTTTTTTTTTTAGATAATTGAAGAAGCTGGGCATAAATGTATATTTTATCCAAAATTTCATTACAAGCTTAACTATATTAAATTATTTTGGATAGAAACAAAACAATATACATGCTTTCATTGTAATTATATCTTTAAAGATCTTCAATAAACTGTCCCAAATACATTAAATTTAGTTAGCTTAACAAAAATTCATTATTTTGGTCATCATTTTACTTGATATATGAGTGTATATGAGCTTGGGCTAACAGAAAAGGCTGCTATTTATGTAGTAAAAAAATATAAATCTTATAGAAAAGTTCCTGAAAATATTTTTGAAGAATTGTCTAGTTTTTTATTATAAATAAATTTATAGTAAATTTATATACAAATTTATATATAATTATATATTAACAATAATATGGATAAGGGTATGGTGACCTAGTGAAGTAGTTAGGTTGTCAACCTTCCAAGTGGTAGGTTGGGTATTCAAATTCTATTGATAGTAAAAATTTAGATAATCATCTATGTAATATTTGTATTATGGCAACTGTTACTAATGATTGGATTAGGATACCTGTAATGGTGATCATACCAGCAAAACTGGCAGGTCATGAGGCATCTATGTAAGTATAACATTACACAGAGGAATGAAACCAACAAATTGGATGATGTAAACACTAAATAAGTCCTTATGATTATGTAAATCTATTGAAATTGGATAATAAAAAATCCATTTGGAAAGACCTAAGTAAAGAGGTAGTTGAATCTTTGATGACCCTATTGTAAAGGCTAGCTTGGAAAAACAGATACCAAGGTCATAGTACCTAGTCAAAGTAACCAGACAAGCAAAAACTTCTGGGTTGGAAGTCTCAGAAATACCACCAACTAGGCTGCTAAAACGAATCAGAAGAAAAAGATATTAGGCTAATCTGATATACTAATAAACTGGTCATAGTCCTACATGGACTATTTGGATTGAGAGTTTGGTAAAAAAACAAATAAAAAAGCAGAGATATACTAAAGTACTAAAATTATACTGTGAAGTAGATGCTGGGATCTAAGTAAACTCTATAAGAGCATAGTGGTTTAATGGTCAGTCCTGATCATAAATGTTGATTCTGCTATAACAATACTTAGTTCAATTGTAAAAATAGGTACAGAAGATTCCGGAGAGTTTATCTTGAAGATAAATTAGTTCTAAGATTGAGATGATAATCTGGGCATCTGGGTATAACCCAGTAAGTTAATACAGGTTACAGATTCAGAGGGTTTAAAGTGGAACACCCAAGCAGGGGTGTTAGGTATAACAATTGGAAAGGAACCATCATGCGGACTCCTTAAATAGGTAATATAGAAAACTTACATATGTAACCAATTGTACTCTCTTCTGTAGTAGTTCATTGAACTACAATACCGATAAGTAATTAATAAAAGTCAAAAGACCAAAAAGGTCACCTTAGTACCAAAAAAAAAACCAATAATATGGATAATACATATTTATTGTAATTGTTACACTAACATTATAACATACAGCTTTTTTGCCACAGTCGAAGAAATCTTGCTAATCATTAATATGGTGATGTTTCAAGAATTTTTTTCAAATTGTTATTTCTCACTAAATAAGCACAAATTTGCAAAAAAAAATATGTAACTTTGTAAACCTTTACTGTAACTATAAAGTTACATATTTGTTTTACAAATTTGCATTTATTTATTGAGAAATAATAATTTTAGATGTCTTTAGAGTGCTCGCACCATATAAGAATAATTATCTAAAGAAAATTGATATAAATTTAAGTCTACACTCAGAAATAAAATAATTAGTTCTAAATTATTGTAATATGAGGCCATAAAACTTTAATATATTGGTTTTATAATATGAAACTTTTATACAAACTAACCAATCAGCTTTTTTTTAAATATCATATATAACCATTTTATTAAAAAACCCCACCCGATTATAAATACATTAATTTTGTATTATTTTATTAAAAAATTTTTTTCTAAAATATCTTTAAGGTATAGGTATAAGAAAAAAATATTATATATTTAGGTTAAAATAAGGTAAAGTGAATTTATACCATATTTCTGCGAAATAATACCCACTTATACGTTATTTTGAGTATATGCGCATTAATCAGAGTATGTGCATGGGCATTATTTCAAGACAAAGATTGATTTTTTAATAAACTTGCTTTTCTAAATGCATTATATATAAGCTGTAGTGCCAAGAGAAAACCAGTACTTATATCACAGGCTTGTATATATGGAGTGCGCGTTATTTGAGAAAATATGATTTTCTAAATAACGCCCATGCTCATTATTTTGTGAAAATGTGGTATATAAAATTAAGAGCTAGTCATTTTTGCTTAAAACATTTATTGCATAACAGTTTTTCTAAAAAAAATTTGATATTGATGATTTTTTTCATTATATATACACATGTACAAGAGTTTTTTTTAATGTGCAAGAATATTGTAAAAATTTATGCAAATATACATGAAAAATTTTAGAAAAAAAGTTATTATAATAATTATATTTGAGTACGCAAAAAATTTTTAATTGCAATTGTGCAAATAAAAAAACAATTTTTACTTGCAACTGTGCAAATAACTTTTGTTCTGAATTTTAAACCTTGATCATGCTCATGGATACAATAGAAATTCTCTAGTAAAAAATACTTTTAAATATTTCCTAGTGTTTAATTTTTAATAAATTACATGTCTGGTCATAATGACATTCAAATTCTAATTTTTTTAATAATGAACAAATATTGTCGATCAGGGGTGTGGCGACCTAGTGAAGTGGATAGGTTGTCAACCCCCAAGTGGCAGGTCTAGAGTTCAAATCCCAGTGAC